TTATTTAGGCATTTTTATATTCACAGCAACTTTTTTACCTTTCAGTATAAAGTTCTCATACATATGTAATTAGATTTGTTCCTAGATATGACTATTTTATGCTTAGATCATATTATTTCAGTTTTCAAGTTTCATTATTAATATAGAATTGCAGTTTATCATTAATGAACTTATACCCTGTAACTTTTCTAAATTCATTTATTCATCCAAAATTAGTAGTTTTGAAAATTTCATATAATTTTGTAAATACACAAATACTTTCCTTTTTTTTTCTTTTAATCTTTTTTATTTCTTTTTCTTACCTAGAAGGTAGGGTTTCTATTGCAATGTTGAATAGAAGGGGCAAGGAAAGATATTTTTGCCTCCTTTCCATTCCAGGGGGAAAGGATTTAATATAAAATCATTAAACATGATATTAGCTGTTAGATTTTCATTGATGTCCTTATCGAATGGTAAAAATTCTATTTTTGGTTTGCCAGGAGTTTTTGAACTTGAGTGTTTAATTTTGTCAAACTATTCTCATTACTGTCATTTCTCCTTTATGTTAAGTTGGTGAATTATATTGCTGGGATAAACCCACCTTGGTCATGCTATATCATTTTTTTTCATTGTTGTTTCCTACTATTTTGAATATTTTTGTATCTGTATTCATGAGGGATATTAATCTTTTCTCTTATATTTGTCAAGTTTTGTTACTAGACTTATGCTGGCCTCATAAAACAAGGTGAAAGTCTTCTTTATTTCTTTAAAGAGTTTATGTAGAATTCAGTTTGTTTTTTTAAAATTCAGTGTTATTTTTAACTGATATATTTAACAAAATTCACCAATGAATTAATCAGGGTTTGGAAGTTTTCTTATTGGAAAAATATGTAATTACAAATTCAATACTTTATTTTTAGATTTTTTTTCTTCTTGTATTTTTCACAAGCTATGGGTTAAAAGGCAATTTGTCCATTTCATCTGAGTAGTTGAACTTAATGGCATAAAGTTTTCCATAATATGCTCTTATCTTTAATGTCCAACAAGCTATGTAGTGATACCTTCCTTTTCGTTCTTTATATTAGTATTTGTATTTTCTCTTTTTCACTTGATCAGGTTTTTGTTTGTTTTGTTTCCTAGGCTGTCATAACAAATTACCATAAACTAAGTTGCTCGAAACCAGAGATTTCTCTCGGATTTCTGGAGGACTGAAATAGAAAATCAAGGCTCCTTTTAAAGGCTCTAGGAGAGGATAATTCCTTACCTCTTAATAGTTTCTGGTTGCTGGCATTCTTTGGTTTGAGGATGCATTATTCCAATCTCTGCCTTTGTTTTCACTTGGCCTTCTGTTTCTATGTCTCTATGGTCTTCTTATAGGGATACCAAATCACTGGATTTAATATGACCTCAGAACTAATTATTTCTGCAAATATCCTATTTCCAAATAAGGTCACATTCTAAAGTTTTGGATGGACACAACCTTTTGGGAAATATTACTCAAGCCAGTATATTAATCTTGATAGGTGTTTATCAATTTTTATCATTTTCAAAATCTCACTTTTGTTTTTCTGTGTTAATTTCCAACAACTTTGTGTAAGTTCTCAGTCAATACCATGCCTTCCAACATTTCTTCTGTATCATTCTTTATCTTCACCTTCAGAAACTCAGTTATGAGATTCAAGGCCATTTGATTTTGCCTACAAAACTCAAATACTCTATACATTTTATTTTCACTCCCTTTTTCATTTTCAATTGTCCTGTCTTCCAAGTTTAAAAAATCATTTCTTCTATGTGTAATCCTATCATATTCAATTCTAGAATTTTCTTTTTTTATTTCCCATAATTTACATGTCTCTGCTGAAATTCCCAATCTCTTCATGTTTACCACCCTTTTTACTACTTCCTTCAGCATTTTTATCATAATTAATCTACCTCTGATAACTGTAACATCTGGGCAATCTGAGTTTGCTTCTATCGACTGTTAGCTCTCTGGATCAAACTTTTTGCTCCTCTGCGGGTCTTATAATTTCTTGCTGTATGCTGGATATTTTCCATAAAAGAACAATAGAAAATAAAATGAAAATAAATAATAGTTACTGCCACAAAAGGGCATGGCTATTCCTTTGTCAGGCTCTTAGAGTGGGAAGCTGAGTTAATCTCATCTGTAGTTGACATAGAGATGAGCTCTGCAGCTGATTTAGTTTAACTTTAGCATTTGCTTCAAATATTTTAAATGAAAAGAGTTGCCTTTCAGTGGGGATTGGGATCTGAGCACTGATGAGATCCTAGTGGAATCTTTGTGCTTTTTAGCTAAACTGCCTGATATCCAAACACGGGGACTTCCTCTCTGCACTACATTTCAATAGCATATTTTAGATTTCCTGAAGTATTCTCTTTGTATTCTACTCAGGCTTCCTCAATAGGTGACTTCTCTCAAATTACCACGCGTTTTGGAGGACCCAGTTGCTTACACTTACAATGTCTCAGAAATATTTTTTTCTTTATTTTAGTTCTGTTCTATGTTCTTATTGTCCTAGTAAATGAATAGTTTACTAAAATTAGCAATCTGGCTGGTTGAAAAGAAGTAAGACATACATCATGGATTTACAAAGTTACTAGCAAGCCAATGTTTACTGAACTTCATTTCACAGTAAGTCTATACAGGACATTGAAGAGATGAGAAAAGTTCTCTTTCTCTTTCACAAATCCACTGAACACTTACAATATATGGCACTATTCTGGCAACATACAATATAATTTAAATAACTGGGATATGGATAAAAATGGAGCTCCTAAATTATAAAAGATCTCATTTGATTTCTAAAATCTAAAATTAGAAGTGGACTAGTTCAGGTTCATTTTATCATGTGATTTTTGCCATCTCCTAAAATCTTGTCATCAATATCCATTTAGTGTACGGAGAAAAAACTGGGTAAGAACATTACCATTTCTCAGAATCTTAATAAAATAATGAACATCCATTTAATTTACATTTCACCGCCTAAAATTCAGTCTCATGCTCATACTTAATTGAAAGGGAAGCCGGGAAATACAGTCTTGCTGTATATCCAGGTCAAAAAAGGAATAGATACACTCAGTTCATAGAACTTACTAATTTTGTCAGCTTAAGACCTTCTTTTTTTAAGGATAAACGTTCAATACAAAAGTGTTGATTGAATTGAAAAGGAATGTCTTATCTGTTTATCCAAGCTACTGTACTGATGGTGGAGGCAAGGCATATTTTGAGGGAGGGGGTAATTACCTTCCTGTTACTTCAGCCATAAGTGAAGGATAAACACACATTAAAAAATCTCTGCTTATAATCCCACTTTGAACTTTGTATTTTCAGCCTCTATTATGCCTAAGCGTTAAGGTTAAATGATGGGATTAAAATACTATCAAAGTAACATTTTGTTTTAAAATAATTTCTTTAATGTGTTAGTGCATATTTTTAAGCCCAATATTCTAGTATAGACCTGTAAATCCAAGTTTCTCCCTATGCCATCCTTCCCATATACAATTTGTAAACTTTGATTCTATCAATCCCTCTCTCACTACACTGTTGTCCTTCACAACTTGAATTTCAACTTCCTGATGTACAGGAGTCAGCACTGAATGCTGTTTCTCAGTTGAGGCTGCACCATAATTTTCAGAGGCATGACAGAAATTTTTCATGGTTTGTATCCACATTTTCTTCTAGTGATGCCAGATTTCAATGAATCACTATTTACTGAAATATCTCCCATGTTCACTGCTGCATGATATATGTAAACAGTATTTTATCCCATTTTGTCTTATTAGCCCAGAAGTCTTCAGAAATATTATTTACACAGTCCTATATCTAGCAACTTATTCCTAATTAAGATCTGGTTCCACCATATATCCATTTTTCCTTTAAAAGTGCTCCTTCTTTGTGCTTTAAACTTGTTCTCACCATTTTTTATTTTGGCTACAGAACCTTTTCTTCTAAAATGATAAACCTCGTTAATCTTCAAAGATCCTTTGAGAACCAGTCACTGAGCACCTCCTGGATGAATAATTTGAATATGAATTTTATATGGGATTTGTAAACCATCCTTTATCTGCCCAGATAGGGATCCAAGTAGAAGCTATATGATCATTTGCATAATGTACTGTTATTCACTAATTGCTCAGCCTTATGTATGAACACTAACCTTTGTTTTCTATAAAACAGAGAGAGAGGAAAAAAAAACAGCTTTGATGGATACAGGTATCCAAATTATTTTGTGCCTTGTTTTTTTTGGACTGATTTTGTCCTTTAGAATCTGGGTTCTACAGAGATCACACCCTGCTCAAAAGACTTAATATCTGCCCACTCAAGACTACTTTTATAAATAATTATAATTTGCTATAAATGAAAATCTAAGAAGCTCTTGACTACAGTTTGTGGTTACTTATATTAATCGTATGTACTGTTATTCACTAATTGCTCAGCCTTATGTATGAACACTAACCTTTGTTTTCTATAAAACACAATCGAAGTAAATCTGCCTACAGCTACTTCTCTCATGCAATAGTAATTAAAATCTCATTTCAGAGACTAAGCTTCATGAAACTGTGACAGACCACTTGGCATATATTTGGCCTTGTGGCAGGAATCAAGTCCATACATACAGAAGCACTTGTGCAAAACTTGAGCAATGAAAGCACTTACATGAATTCAGGTCTGCTCCCATTAATAAGTGGATTCCAAAAGAAAAAAAGTTTATAAAGACTGTAAGAAATCTATTTAGATAGTTAAACTATTACTTCAAAATCCAATTCTAAAGGAGCTGTTGAGTAATAATGATTATCCGGGGTCCTTGGAAAATGTCTCTTAGAAGAGCGTTCCAAGCAAAACATGGTTTACAATGATTTAGAAAATATGAAAGGCTGGATTTTGTAGACTGCTTGGTGCACATCTTGTTTCTCTTAAATAAATTAGAAAAAAATCTACAGTGTTGTTGTAGTCCTTTGGTTTTATTTTCTGGGATTAAAAAGAAAGTATAGGCATAAATGTATTTACATGGTCTTCTTGAAGACATCCTTGAAAATAACTTATCAAATGGCTTTATTCATGTCTCTTGATTATCAGTATTCATCAATATCACTGTCAGCCTTGATTAACTGGTTAAAATTTTCAGAGCAGAATAAGGAACTTTCATGAACATTTCCCCCAAATCCCTGAGAATCGCAATCATCACAGATATATTTTATCCCTTCATCATAAATCTCTGGAAAGTAGCCGTGTTCGTTCATTGTTAACAGGGCAAGGAGCAGTGTCATAGAGGGTTAATCCATGTAAATTGGCTTCCACTCGTAAAGAAATTTTCTGTAACAGAAAAGAAAATTATATATAGGCGTTTGTTCCTTAAAGACAACTTCAACGTCTTCAACTTTCCATCTTCAAAATGTTCTGAAGAATATTTTTGGGATTGGAGATGTAAATCAATTCTAATGAGTAAAAAGACTGAACAGATGTTGTACTGCCAAAGGTATCATCTGTAGTACCAACAGAGTTAGGAAAACCAAGCTTTTCTACTCAGAAGTTCTTCATTTTTCTTTGGTTTCTAAAAGGAATTGGTGAAACGAAATGTTGAGGTTGGCCTACATAAACATAGGCAGAGTTGATGAAATTGACTTGTTTTACAATCTGATTTTCAAGGCTGAACCCCTTCCTAACAACACACTGTTTTCCCAAACACAGAAATGACTTACCTGAGCAGCTCTTCTTATGGCATCGCTGCTTATGAAGTTAATTTTCAAAAATGTTGGAGACTTGACTATAGCATCTTCTTTTATTCCACCTGAGGGAAGTTTGCATAAATATAATGTTGTGTTTTCTTACCTGAAAATCACGGATGTAAGTCAGGAAAAAACCAAAGAAGGAGAAAGACATAGACCATTCTGCTGCAGTGGTGATCATGTGAAGCACATAACCCTTGAGTGACAATGGAAAAAAAGAATAATTCTTTGAAATTTCACTTGAATGATCTAGAATTTCTCTCAAATAAAAGAACCATAAAATCTGCAAACCAATCTGTCTTCTGAACTTCAAAGGACATGACATAAACACTAAGGACATATTAATATACTATGGCCTTTTGTCAAAAACTATATACATGTGAGTTTATTAATTGTAACCAACATGCCATACTAAAGATATTAATAAAAAGTGTGTGTACAGAATATATTGATAACACAGAACCCTCTGCACTGTTTCCACAATATTTCTGTAAATATAAACTGTCTAAAAAAACATTTGTTTAAAAACTTAATTCTATTTATCTTTTATAAATAATTCCATATCCAAACTTTCTAGGAAAAAACAAAAAACAAAACAAAACAATCCTAATTTATTGAACATATCTCAATGTGGTTTTGATTTGAATTTCCCTGATGGCTAATGATGATGAACATATCTCAAGGCATTAGGAAAGTCTTCCTAAATGATCTAGCTGTCGTACCTTCATCTAGATCAAATAAAATTTCCATTTGAAGAACTAAGAACAGGACTAAGAACAGGAGAACCTCTACTCTATAATTGGGAAGTTACTGCTTTTCCCGCAGCCATAAGATTCATTAAATGCCACTAAAAATGTTTCAGTAAAAAATACTCATGATAAACTTAGTGTTATTTTTACACTAAAAATAAAGCATTAAATAATATATAGATTATAACTGAGGAAAACTAGCAAACTATTTCATTCTTTCATTCTTACAAACATGTCCTATCCAGAGCTAATTCTTTAAAAATAATTCAAAATGAAATGCCACTGAGAGGTTTGTGAAAACAGATGAACTTAATTTTGTCATTTAGTTAGCATACATCCCTCCTCTTTTTTTCCTCAGGGTCAAAGATGTTATCTCCATTCAGATATCCATTATACTGGAACCTAAATAAAGAGTACGTAATAATAAACTTCTAGATGGTAATTCAGAAAACAAGTATTCCAATAATAAAAGAGTTCAGTTGGGTATGTTGTACATTACATCCATATTTGAAGGAGTCAATTTCTACATCCATATTTGAAGGAGTCAATTTCTGAGAAAACTCTTTGCCATCACAATTCTCCTTATGTCTTGAAAATGTTCATTGTTGAATTGAGACAGAAAATACTGGTAGTGCTACCTAAACTCAATCGGACATAGAAAATAATCCTAATTTAACAAAATGATTACTCTAGAAAATTATCATTTTTAGTGATGACATGAAAAATACATCAAAATCAACCAAAATAGTCATCTTTAATATAAAACTATGTTTTATAGATTCCAAGATCTTACTCTGTCCTCAGGGTTCCAATGGAGTTTCTGTACAATATCTGTGCCAAAATTCCCACTGTACAAAAGTGATGAGCAAGTCAGCACTATACAAAAAGTAAGTCAAGGAGAATCTCAGAGAAAACCTGTAAGTTTAAATTAGATTCAAAATAAAAATCACTTTAAAGTTCCACAAGGATTACTCATTCATTTGTTTCCAAGGTCCAAACCCATTTTCTTAAAGACTCGATATTATATAGTAGTAGTGAAAATTAAAATGTACCCAGAGGATTACTATGAAATGGTTTGCATAGTCAATCCCTCTTTGCTCAGTAAATCAGCAGTACTAGCCTAAGATTCTGCTACATAATTGTTTTCGGGAGGGCATTAACTCATCCTTCACATCTCTGAAGTGAGTATGATCAGGCTGAATTTTATCTTTGTTCCCAGCTCAATTACTGAGATCTTATGTCAAATTTGAATCTCGTCCTTTAATTTAGGGTTAGTAACCCAAGAATCTCCCCCACAAAATGCCTGCTCACAATATGCCAACAGTGTTCACTTATATTCTGTTATTTAATTCCAAGCTGCCAAGTACAGCTATGTTTTACAGCAAAGGATACTGCTAAATGCACTTACTCCACACCAGATAACCACCAGTAGTCTGATCCAGAAGACTTGTTTGCCATGAATTTTGGGCTGCATTTGGTAGGAAAGGATGGTCTGAACGAACATGTATAACGAGCCCATGCCAAAGGTGAGCACAGCTCCACATACATGTACAATAAAAAAGGCTGTTTTCTGAGAGGTAGAAAGAAGAAATAAATAAGAGAAACTCAAAACATATTGCCAACACAATATTTAAAAGCACAGGCTAGTGACCTCAAAAAAACAGTCGCTGAATGGAAAAGGACTATGAATTCCAGAGATTACGTCCTGAAGCAATTCTCTCCCAGAGTACTCAACAAAAGCCAGAAGATTGCAGTAAACCAGTAGTCACGACTGAAAACATGGCAAGAATTATTCATTTACTCACTGAATAATAGGTTTATTTGGGTACCTCTTCTATGTCAAGCACTGTTCTAAGTACTCAGATACATTAGTGGACAAAACAGACAAAAATCTGGCCCTCAGAATTTACATTCAAGTGAAGAAGCACAAACAGTAAGTGGCAAACTTTAGAAATAAGTAAAGTCCATCGTTTGTTAGATGGTAATAAGGGTTATAGAAAAAGGGTAGCGCATGGCAAAGGAAGATCAGGATGGTTGGGAAGCTGGAGGGAGGGTTTCAACTTAAATCTAATTTAAATCTGGGTGCAATTTAAAGGCTCAAAAAATTAAAGCATTCCCTCTTGGCTCTCATCGATTAGTTTTGGATAAATTATACACGAGATTACCGTAAATTCCAATATTTTCCTCCTTTTTATCAGTATCCATTTACATTTTACTTTTTACTACATGTACCCTCTGCTTAAAAGTGACAATGGTAGCTCTCCAAAAATTCTACAAATGTTTTTGGTTGAACTGCTCTAGTTTTCGAAGCTGATGCAGTCTGTATTTCGCTTGGTTGAGAAGGCACTGCAGAGCACCTGGCAGAGTGTAGGACGGGGTAACAAGAGGGGAGAGGTTAGGACTTGGGTCCCTTCTTTCACAACTGACTGTGCTAATTCACAAACATAGCACCCAGTTTTCTTAGTTGAAGATATAGTAAGTAAAAGGTAATAATGTTTTTGCCAAAGCCATTGGTTTTCTTTTGGACAGGAAGGGCTATTTTGATTCGGTTTGTGGTATTCTAACTGGCAATGAGTTACAAGTACTGGGAAGAGAAAAGAATGCATTGCTATTACAACTTTGGGTAACAATGAAGAAAAACTTCAGTACCATAAAACATAATACAAAATGGTATTATCTTCTTCGAGAATTTATCTATACATACAATTAAAGGCTAGAAAAATATAGGCAAAAACGAAATTAACGATTTTAGGGCTACAAGCAGGAATATGGATAAATTTTCGCCTTAAAAATATTCTCATATAGGGCACCTGGATGGTTCAGTGGGTTAAGCCTCTGCCTTCTGCTCAGGTCATGATCTCAGGGTCCTAGGATCAAGCCCCGAATCAGGCTCTCTGCTCAGCAGGGAGACTGCTTCTCCCTCTCTCTCTGCCTGACTCTCTGCTTACTTGTGATATCTCTCTCTCTGTCAAATAAATAAAATCTTTAAAAAAATTTTTTTCATATAAATTGATGAAGCTAAATACTGATATAGCCTGATTGATGCCCACCTGTGATCAGTACATAGTTCCAACAACAAAATCCTGTGAATTAAAAAGTAAAAACAGGGGCACCTAGGTGGCTCAGTGGGTTAAGCCTCTGTCTTCAGCTCAGGTCATGATCTCAGGGTCCTGGGATGGAGCCCCACGTCAGGCTCTCTGCTCAGCAGGGAGCCTGTTTCCTCCTCTCTCTCTGCCTGCCTCTCTGCCTACTTGTGATCTCTTGTCTGTCAAACAAATAAATAAAATCTTTTAAAACTAAAAAAAAAGTAAAAACAAAGAATGGAGGGCACTCATTACCGTATTTTTATAATTAAAAATAAAGGCATTTAAAACTGGTTTTAACTGGCAGTACTTCTGCTTGGACATTCAATTTTGTTAGACACCAGGGAAACAGCAAAAGATCTTGAAATAGGCCAGAGAGTACTCCAGTGGAATGTTAAAGCCTCTGGCACTGGTTCTACATGAATGTCAGTTTTACTTGGCTCTGAAAACTTCCGTAATGATAGAAGTTATGTGTAGAGACAGAAGTTAATTTGTAGAAAACTGACAGAAATGCAAATAATCCATATCTATACAAATGCAATTGTGTCTTTTTGAATGTTATTAATTATCACTCTGTGAATAATGACCAGTTTTACATCATAAATTTGTTTTAGCATTCCTTATTTGACTACAAACCTGTGGTACCTTGACTTCTCTTTTCAGTTGATTTGTACTACCTACTATTTCCCTCATTAATTAGTAAGTTAAATAACATGTACAAAAGTCATTATTTTATTCTCTTTAAAAATATATCTTTTCACAAAGCAAAGACAAAAACTTATCCTTTGACAAAGACAAAAAAAATTATAGTGATATGTGTGGTCAGGAGCAAATGTCTGATAAAGAACTTAAGAAGTATACAATGAATAGTCTGTAATCTTTACCTACAAGCAGTTAATGAAACTTAGGAACTGATCTTCTGCTTATTTAGCCTTATCCTCTCTCTGAAGTCTCCCTGAAGATAAATTTTATAGGAAGAAAGAATGGCATGTGACAACAGAGGCACACATTATGGAGTTTTCTTGCCACAAGCCACGCAATACCAAGGATGGCTGGTAACTATTGGAAACTAGAGAAGAGGCATGTGTCCCCAAAAGGGAACTATCCCTTCTAACACCTTAGTTTCAGACTTCTGGCCTCCTGAACTTTAAAAGAATAAATTTCTGTTACTGTAAGTCACTCAATTTATGGTATTTTGTTATGGCAGCCCTACAAAATTAATACAGATTTCTGCTTACTTATCCTTTCCAAGTTTCCTCAAAGATAAATGTCCTTCGAAGGGAAAAATACTCTAAGTATGCACTGAGGATGCTTAGCATGTGTTTGTGTTTGCTGAATATTATTATACAGCGTTGTTTTCAAAGAAATTAAATCTGCATTTTTCAAGTCAGAGTTTTCCAAATCACATTAGGTCTCTTTAAGCACCAACAACCACAGCAGTAGCAAAAGAATTTTTATCCATCCTGCTTAGTCCCTTTAGCCTCTTTAATAAGTCACTAAACAATGAGAACATCTTTGAAGTACTATGTTAGGTGATGAATATACAGCGATGAACACAACCATTGTGCTTGTAATTAATGGAGAAATAGATCAACTAGAAAATTTTAAAAACCACAGATAAAAAAGTAGACTATAGTAAGTCCTGTGAAGAATTTGTTTCCAGAGGCTAAGAGAACACAAAGAATACAAATAAAGAAAACTCTATATGGGAACAAGTCTATTCACAGAGATCTCCCTGAGGAAGAGGTTTGCATGGAAAACCTGAAGACACCGAGATCTATTTAGGTTTGGGGTAGTGAAATGTCCAACAAAAGAAACATGTGAAATGGAGTGAAATAAACTTGTCTTATTTAAGGAATAAGAAAGTCCAGTGTTATGTACAAGGGAGGATATTAAGAAGGGGAATGATGTAGAACGAGGCTGGAGAAGTAGATCATGCAAGACCTTTGAATTAATTAAGCAGCTTGGCAGTTCATCAAATTCCTTTTTCTCTCTTGATTACATCTCTTTTCATGGAAGCTTGGAGCTGTACAGCTTTAAACAGGGTACAGGGAAACAGAGTGTGATGTACATATAATAACAAAAGATTACACTGGCTACAATATTAGATGAAAGGGAGGTAAGAGTGAAGGCAGAGAAAGCATTTAGGCGGCTATGGTACTAGGCCAGGCTATGAAAGATATGAAATCTGAACTGGTTGAAGAGATGGTAGGGAGAGCAAGCAGAGATGGAAATGAAGAGAAGCAGATGTTTTCAAGAAATATTTAAGGGGTAAAACCAACAAGTCCCTACTTTAAAACACAGTGCTAGAGTCTCTTCCAAGTCAAACTCTGCAACACAGAAGTAGGAAGAGGGAGGGGCAATGCACTCACCACTTAAGCACTGAAAGTTTATACAAGGAAGGATATTGGGGTACTGTTACAGAATCTGCTTATAAATAGGGCCCAGCCATGAAGCCATCAGTGAAGGATGTGAAGGAAATTCAACAGGTCCAAAGCTGCATGAAAAGGGATGTGATCAAGAGAGAAAAAAGGAATTTGATTCAAAATTAAAAAGCCCAGGGACCCCTGTGGTGAAGGTTAATTAGAATTAAAGCTAAAAGGAACATAGCAATAAAAGTATATAAACCGTTTTTATACGTAAATGAGAAAAAGGCAGAAAGGCAGCATGCACAGGCCACAATTAGGAATTCCCTTGGAATTTACTGGATTGCATAAACAAGTATTAATTATTAACACAGGTAGCATCTTACGTGTGGAGGTCACTTTGGGATCCATTCTTACCACACAGGGATGAGAGATACTGTTAAATTGGTAAAGGGACAACTGGAACAAAGAATCACTATCCATATACTAAAATATCCCCAAAACATATTTTTAACACTGAGCTTCAGAAATTGGTTAGTGAAGGCAGAATCCTATTTGTGGCAAAGACAGCTAGCCACCAAAAGTCCTGTGTCCCTTCCACAGTATGGAGTTGTCCCAGGAACTGATGCTCAGCATGACTTCATTTCCCAGTCCCTCTTGTTGTGTCTAGCAAATGTTAGGATGATGTGAGTCACTGTCAGGTCAAGGTAGTTAAGAAGCAGGTGTGATTTCTGCATATTCTCTTTGACTGTTCCAGTTGGCTGGATGCAGGAGACAGTAAGGACTTAGGGAATGCGAGAGCTCAAAGATGGATAGTGTCTGTGCCTTAAATCACTGTGGGAGGAAAGCCATCTGTCAGGCAAAAATACCTGCAGTGGATGCATGAATATGCCTCTATCTGTGTATTTGTATGAGGGTGTATAAATAGTTATTAGATGTCTAAACTGAAACTCTGAAGACTGCAGAGCCATTAAGCAAAAAACACCCATATGCCCAGGACATAGCTGGTATTACCAAAGATTCATCTGAAAGAATGTCAGTTGAAAGGAATGTGAAGAGTTTGCAAATATTTGTGAAAATTAACCTGCTACTTTAACAATTCCCTGAGAAAAAGGTGAAAAGCTCCATATCCTCCCTTTACTTCCTCGTATGAGAGGCTGAGCATCTCTAGAAATAGAGGTGATCAATGGGAACATCTAAACAAGAATATAAAATAGGTAAATGAGTGTAGATTGTTAGCATATTTTTTTTCCCCAAAGAGCTTTACTTTTAAGTAATCTCTACACCACAACCCCGAGATCAAGAGTTGCACGCTCTACCAGATAAGCCAACCAGGTGCCCCTAAGCCATATATATTTTTTCAAAGTTCAAATCTCTAATTGTGTCACTTATAATTTATATCAATTCTCTCTGGTCTTGGAGTAATCGCCAACTAAGTAGTAATGAAGAGTCTAATAGAGCCCTGTGAATGATTAAAAGGTCAGAATAATTTATAGGTCTTCAGGAGTTTACTGAGAATGAATTTTTCCAATTGTGTATGTAGTGAACCCTAAGAAGGTCAAATGATTTAAAGGCAGGGGATTCTACTTTGTTAAGGCAAAGAAACAATAACAGTGTGTAACTGAATGTTTCAGGTTTCCTTTTGAACATGTATTAATTTATGTACCTCAGGAAAATACTTATGCTGGGCTAAAATACAAACCTGGAAGTTTGCCACAACAGAAAGTCCAAAACAACTCAGTAATCCAAGTACAAGGCCAGCCTTGTTTAATTTGATGATACGACTCTCTTCAGGATTCAAGGCATGAACTTGCTTGTAACGAACATAAATGGTTGCAATGCCTGGGAAGAGATAACCCAAAAGGCAGCAAAGTAATAAGTAACCAGGGAATAAAGTTGCCAACAAAGAGTTAACAAAAGTCACCTAACATAAATTAAAAGGTTAATTTGAGAGAAGAGAAAAACCAAAAAACAGAAACAGCTGTTGGTTTTAAGGTTGGGAACTAGTAATTTCTCTGTGGGACTGAAGGGCACTCTCATGGGCCTCACATTTACAAATATTTAGGACAAAATTTAAGAGATAAGTTTGACGTTTTCTGAAAATCTCTAATGATAAGTGTTATATAAAACAAAATATTCTAGATGATTAGCATTAAAATTTAAAGTAATTATTGCTAAAATATGGATAAAACGGGTACTGGCAAAAAACAAAACAAAACAAAAACCAACCAACCAAAAAAAGAAAAAAAAAAGAAAAAAGAAACACCAAAAGGTGATTTGCCTCACTCCCATTTCATTTTATTTCAAATTATTATAACTTGGTTCAATCAGATATAGCAGTCAATTACACAGAAAACAAAAACACTAATTTTACGATAGTTGTTATCAAGAAAGGGTCAAATCAAGTCAAATTTCCCATTGCAAAAGTATTGCCAAAGAACTTGGAAGTATAGAAAATGAAACAGAGATATGCTTTTGTAGATGTGTTTTTGAAAACTTTAGTCATAAGATGAACCTCTATGCACTGAATCATTCATTTCCTTGACTTCAATTTTTGATCCAAGGAGATAGTAAATACTATTTGGAAAAGTGCAAATATTTAAAACAATGACAATTGATGAAAAAAAATTTTAATCATTAATACAAGTTTGATTCGAAAAATAATGAACAGGAATGTAAGTTACAGTAGAATTCCATTCCTTTGGCATTAGAACATCATTCAAAAATCAAAACACAGTTCTACCACTACTCTTAAACTTCTAAATTGTTTATCCTAAATGAATTTAGTTGGTGTTAGTTGCAGTCAGTGTGTTTATAAGCTTTCTGTCCTCTACTGGTCACTTAAGAAATCCACTTAAGGTCTCAAAAACTATTTGGTTATACTTTACAACTTCTATTTGGATGAGTAGTCAAATAGCCTTATAGATATTTTTTAAGGTTTATTTCTATAATTTAGCATTTTTAGAAACTGCCTTTCTTTGAAAAGGAACATATCTGGGATCAATAATTCAGTGGTAACATTCCCTCAGGTATAACCAGAAAGTAAAACAAGTAACAAGTGTTTAAAGAAGGAAAGGGCAATTTTGGTATTAATTTTGATTTTTAAAACAATTCCCATTACTTACACAAAACTGCAGCAATATTTAACATTGCCCCAAACAAGCATTTTTCTGGAGCTACTGTACCAGTGTCACTGAAAGAAAAAAAAGAAGGTATATGGATTTCTCACACTAAATATATATGTGTATTTTTTTCTAAAGAGTAAGAAATAATGGATTACTTCAAATCCTGTATCTTTTTACACATTCCTAAGTTCAACTCATATAATTTTATGAGAACATGACAGTTTGAGCTCACAGTATTTATCTAGTTCACTTTTCTTTTTTTAAAAGATTTTATTTATTTGACAGAAAGCACAAGCAGGGGGAATGGCAGAGGGAGAAGGAGAAGCAGGCTCCCCGCTGAGCAGGAAGCCCGATGTGGGTCTCCATTCCAGGACCCTGAGATCATGACCTGAGCCAAAGGCAGACACTTAGCCAACTGAGCCACCCAGTGGCCCTAATTCACTTCTTTCTCATACCACTTGAAATTACTTTTTTTTTTTTTTAAGATTTTATTTATTTATTTGACAGAGAGGGAGAGAGAGATCACGAGTAGGCAGAGTGGCAGGCAGAGAGAGTGGGGGGAACAGGCTCTCCACTGAGCAGGGAGCCAGATTCGGGGCTTGATCTCAAGACCCTGCGATCATGACCTGAGCCAAAGGCAGCCGGTTAACTGACTAAGCCACCAAGGCACCCCAAGATTACTTCTTTTTCAGGTAACAGAAATCAACAGAAATTAATTAAAAACAAACAAACCTGGGCACCTGGTGGTTCAGGCAGTTAGGCAGCTGCTTTTGGCTCAGGTATGATTGCAGGGTCTAGGAATTGAGACCCACATCAGGCTCCTTGCTCAGTAGGGAGCCTGCTTCTCTCTCCCTCTGCTCCACCTCTCTGCTTGTTCTCTCTCTCTCAAATGAATTAATAAAAATCTTTTTAAAAAATAACAAAAAATACCTACCCTGGGTACATTAGGGCTGTGTTACTGATTTCCATCAATTGGTCTCAGGTGTGTTCCTTTGTCCCACCTGGATGTTCCCGAAACACTACAGATCCTTTCACAACTCTGCTTTTGTCATCTGTTGTTGACCCTGTCTATAACTCAATTAATACCTAATCATGTCCTGTTAATTTCAAAAACATTTATCAAGCACCTACCATGTGCCCGACAGTATTTTAGGGACAGGAGTACAGTGGTTAGTAAAAGAGACAAAGCCCTTCCCCTCTTGTAGCTTCCACATGAGACCAATTTTTCCCTGCCCTCCAGAGCCTTGGCCAACTCCTCTAGCAGAATGAGGAATCACAGAGCACCCTGTCCAGACTTCTGTTAAAATTGCTGATCACAATGTATTACAATGTATCAGCTTACATGCTTGTGTTTCAGGGCAAACACAGATCCAGATCAACACCTATCATTTACTGTGCAAATTTGGGTATGCTCTTTTATCTTTCTATGACTGTTCCTTGTCTGCAAAATGGGCTATTAATTTCCTCCAGCCTCATCAGCTCAACATGAGGAAATGAAAGTGACAATACATGTGAAGATCTAGCACAGCAGCAGACACAGGAGACACCCATTAAATGTTAGTTCCTTTCCCTTCTCTCAAACTACAGTAAAGATGAAAAAGATAAAGTCTTTGGCCACAAACTGAAGTACTAAAGGAAAGAGATAATAAGGATCTCAGCTAACACAATCTAATTGGAATCAAAAAGAGAGGGAAAGTCACATCTGGTAAGGAATCAATAGTGTTTGGTGAAATTTGGGTTAGGTTTATGAAAAGTAAAGTAACACATATAAATTCTAAGGATTGCTCCTTCCAACTCTAAGATGTATCTTTAGAAACAAAACATTCTGTTACTCTGATCATCTTCAGGAAGTGAGAATTATGGTTTAGCTGCTTGTTTTTTCTACCTTTCAATTTTTCAAAAATAATGTATATACATTCCTATAATCAAAAAATTTCTGATTTCCTAAAATTTTAATAGTTGTATTTCAAGAGATGCTACAGTTTAGAAACACCCTGTGAGGAAACAAAAGCATGCATTTCCAAGATGGCTGGCTAAGTGTGCTCCTGCTTCGGCTCTGAAACAGTCTGATACAAACTGTACTACAAGTAAAATCAGCCAAGTCCATCACCTCATCAACACAGCACTCCAACCCAGTGGTCATCAAACTATTTTGATCACACACCATCAAAAAGAAAAAAAAAATTAAAAAGTCTGATTGTGTAACTTCAAAATATATGTATTTATTAGATAAGTTCAAATATCGAGATTTTAAAATATACATAGAGATTCTAATTTGTTCTCTTCCCCCAGTACTCATCTCCTGCATTCTATGCAGGCATCCACTACTTGAACGAACTAAGAGAACACCTGAAACATACTTGCTGTGAAATTGTCTTTGGTGTGGAAATTTACATTTGGTTATATCTTTTGGGACTGTTAACAATTAAACCTTTTAGATGGTGTCTGTGAACTGAGAGGAACTTTGCAGAGCATCTAGTCTAATTTAATCATTCTTCAGATGAAGGCAATGAGCCCGAGAAGTAAAATTAAGTACTGAGTTTAAATGTATTAGAACATTGGAGAAAGGTCCCAGGGTAATAATACTAAGGTCAGTAGCAGAAAAATAAAAGGGCAGAACAGGGACAGAAAAGGAAGTGTCTAGGGTACTGTCAGAAAATCACATGCAGTACCATCAGAGAACTGAAACTCTGAAAAAGAACCCAAAGGCCTCTTAAATGATTAAAAGCTTTTTAAAGTGAAAGCAGACAAGTTCTTAAAGGGGAAATAAAAATGCTGAAAGGCACTCAGGAATAACTGATGTATGTTCTCTAAAAAGTTACTAAAGAATGAACTGTCTCCTTAAGCTACATGTTCCTGTAGCAGCGTGCTATGATCAGTGGTGATTATTCATCAAATTATTCCTAGAATCGGAACTTTCAATTCTAAAATATCTTTGGTTTTTGTACATCTTCCAAAAGCGTACCCAATTTGTTGCTATCTTTTGCTCCATACCATCCCACTGTGGGAACAAATGTAGATAGTAACATTCTGATCTCTTCTTGATACTTTTTTTTTTAAGATTTTATTTATTTATTTGACAGAGATCACAAGTAGGCAGAGAGGCAGGCAGAGAGAGAGGGGGAAGCAGGATCCCTGCTGAGCAGAGAGCCCCATGTGGGGCTCGATCCCAGGACCCTGAGATCATTACCCGAGCCGAAGGTGAGGCCCAACCCACTGAGCCACCCAGGCACCCCTCTTCTTGATACTTTTAAAAAGATAAATTTAGCCTTCTGGTTCATCACCCTTTAAAAATTCACTATTTTCTACATTGGAGAGGTCATTTTTTCAGAATGTAAACAAATAAATAAATGAAACAACTATAACAGCAAAACAAACTCTGGAAGGAAACCAACCAAACCATTAATTACCTCTGGACAGGCAGAAGCAGGAGAGGGGCTGAAACAGACTTTCACTTTTTACTTTTATAATCAGTCTAGTATTATTTAAAATGTTAGGATAAGTATATATTGTCTTTATAACTGGGAAAAGAGAGTTACAAACATAGCACAAGCAACTGAGTACCCATACTTATATCATTATTAGTTTTGAAATTTCAAAAATACTACTGATAAATTTTGATACTTAATGTGTCAGAAAGACCTAGACAATATGTCACAAAGATTAAAAGCAGGGTCTCTAGAGTCAAACTGCCCAAACTGCATTTTGGTTCCACCTCTTACTGAGTCATGAATCCTTGAACAAATAACTTATTTCCTTCTCTCTTAAATAGGGGTAACAATTTTTACTTCATAGGGTAGTTGTAAGGATTCAATTATTTATCATCTGAAGAATGTTTAGAACATTACCTTGTATATAGCAAGTAGATCAATAAATAGTTGTCATTACTATTATCTTTTAATACTACTACTGTTGTTTGCAGCATTTTTGAATTTTAAAGGGAGAGTTTTTCCACTTCTATCTTCTGAGACAACCTCAAATATTTATTTGGAAGACAAGACACTTAAAGTGTCTTAATTCACTAACTAATTTACTAAGTGAGTCATATCCCTGTCTCCACCTTTCTCTATCACATGGAAAGAACCAAATACAACTTCCTTTTTATACTCTGTGTTGTTATAATGTTGAACATAACCTGAATTTTAAAATGTTAACATGGAATGTTGGCTTCACTGTTAAAATGTGAATGATACATAAATGGCCTCCTATAAAAAAATACATTTCACTGACCTGATATAAGGCAGAGCAGGGTCAACATGGTGAAGCGTTATGGCCGTAATGTATGAAAATATAAAAGCAGCAGCTGTCCAAATTACTAGGGCAGATGGGAGGAAACTGAGACCTTGTTGAAACCACCACATCTCAAACAGGTCTTCTGAGGTAGAAAAAGCAAATTAGAGAAAATTATTCACAAGTATTTCATCTCTTCTACTTTAGCCATCCATTCCCACTATCTTATACTTATCAACCTGAGCTTTCCATTTCTGATATCACCCCCCACACCATCTACTAACACCTGCTTGCTTTCAGTTTCTCTGTAAATGGAACCAAACTTCACCCACTTGCCATATCCAGAAACGTTCTTCCTCCCTCAGGTTTCCACACATAATCAAGTAGTAAGCACTGTTTATTCAACCTTCTAAGTTTCTTTCAAATCTACCCTTTCTTTCCATCTTCACTGCCACTACTCTACCGAAAATACCATTATTTCTTGCCCAGATTATTATTATAATCTCCCAAATGGTTCTTCTGTAGTATGGACCATGACCAATCTAGACTCCACCCTAAAGCCAGAGCGATCATTCTAAAATTCTGAAATATCAATCTGACTACCTATTCTCCTATAAAGAATATTTCAGGGCCTCCCTGTGCCCTTATAAATTGTCTTTCCTCCTTAACTCTGTCTACAGAGTCTTTGCATTGTCTGATCTCTACTTAACTTTTGGTAATTCATCTCTGGCTACTTCTTTGTTCCCAATTCCTTGCTCTAGCTTTCATCATCAATACAAATGCAAACACAGTGTCTACTCTGTGTTAGCACATTACTAATCACCTTAAATAAATGATCTCATTTACTTCTCACAATAGAATTACAGAGATTAAGAGCATTGTCCAAGGTCACAGGGCTGGGACTTAGAATTAGAACTAAAGCAGTTCTGTTCCAGCACCAATCACTGTGCTACATGGCTATAGGAAATTTCTTTCCGATGTTCAAATCTGTTATGCTGTCTTGTACACTCGCAGACCTTCATGTACACTGTTCTGACTGGGTAACAGACCACCATGCTATCACCCTTCAGCCTCACTACCACCTGCTAACTCCTATATACTTTCTTTTTTTTCTAATTTATTTTATTTTATTTTATTTATTTGTCAGAAAGAGAGAGAAAGAGACAGCACAAGCAGAGGGCGCAGCAGACAGAGAGAAGCAGACTCCCTGCTGAGCAGGGAGCCTGATGTGGGACCTTATCACAGAACCGTGGGACCATGACTCCAGCCGAAGGCAGATGCCCAACTGACTGAGCCATCCAGACATCCCTACTCCTATATATTTTCAAGTACTAACTCTTACAGCTTTAGCTGAGTGTCCCTGCTTTGTTTCCAAGAACACCTTTGACTTCCCCGACCAAGACTTTCATCTCACTTAACTGTTGCTTGTTTGCTTGGTTTTATCTTCCTCACTAAACCTTAGCTTCTGACAGAGCAGGAACCAACCATTTTGTTCACCATTATATTTCCAGCTCCTGCATGAGGGGGAAAAGAAAAAGAGTACCTAAATACACACATATCACACATCACCACTTTCTCTTAAATTCCAGACTGAGGATGTTGTTTCCGAATTCACTAATGATTACTTGATATTAATGTATCTGAATGTATTTAATTTTTAAAAATAAATACAGAAATACCCTCAAGTTATAAGAAATTACTGCTATGCATATGAAATAATGTCATGTTTAGAGGAGTATCTTCTCATAGTTTGATGGACAGAAATTGAATATTTCCCATGAACTTTGTAAGAACAACTTTTTTTTTTAAGAGCTTATTTATTTATTTGACAGAGATCACAAGTGGGCAGAGAGGCAGGCAGAGAGAGAAGAGGAAGCAAGCTCTCTGCTGAGCAGAGAGCCTGATGTGGGACTGGATCCTAGGACCCTGGGATCATGACCTGAGCCGAAGGCAGAGGCTTAACCCACTGAGCCACCCAGGCGCTCCTGTAAGAACAACTCTTACCTGCATAATCCTCCAATGTGCTCAGCTTCTTCCAAATAATGAAATCTCAGCCACTTTTGACTTGTACTCGTCATTTACTCTGATCATCTGACTTGTTGCTAAATATATACATTTAAGTCTTGCTAAGTTTCTTTTCCTTTTTCCCTAAAGTCACCATTATAGACTCGATCTGAGTAATTTCCTGCTTGAATTATCAAAATCTCCTCCTTTCTGTTTATTTTTTCTTTTTAGTCTTTAACATTCTATCAATTTTCTTCATCAATCTAGTTAAACATGATAATTCCTTGCCACATTCCTATAGTGCTTTCCCCAGCATAAGTTTCTGGGACAATAATTCTCAATTTCTACAAATTTTGAATTATTTCTAAAATCTTTAATTCTTCTCCTTTATTCTCTTTGAAATAATTTTACTTTGGATAATTCTTACATAACATCCTTAGAAGAGTCTAGTTTCATATTTGTTGGTTCCACCAACGCTTGTACCTGTTTTACAGTTTTTGATATGAACTTATATTTGGATGATTTTAATTGGGAGTATTCTATAAAGCTTAGGTTAATGGTGAATCATTCCAGGGTGGGTCTATATCTATTTTTGCCAGACAGTCTGGCGCATTACCAACCTGGGCCAACTTTTTTCCAGGTTTTTTAGACCATGTAGATAAGTAAATTTGAACCTTGAATCTGAGTGTTGGCAAACCCCGTAGTTTCAAAAGTTCTCAAGAAGTAGCTTTACTCACCCACCTGGACCTGGGTGAAAATGAACAAATTTCTTTGTGATCCCCCTTGCCAGGAAGGAGATATTTTTCCTAGCCCACCTTTCACTGAGTAGTTTTTTGAGGATCCTGGCTGAATCTGGGGAAAGGTGGTTCTCCAAGGCCATGGGTTGTACAATTTCAAGTAGAAATATTTGCATTTTAACTTTTATGAATAAAATCATCCCCTGAAACACATTTATACAAACTACCATGTGAATGGTGCCTCTTGGAATTGTATACCTGAGAGGTCAAAGGGCTTTGAATTCTCTCTACCTTGGTGGGGAGCAAGAGGAGCCTATCACTAGTCCTTAATTGTGCTTTATTTCTGCTATCACCCAAACCAAAAGACACACTGCTAGTTTACTACTCTGGTTTCTATTCTCTCTTTGACCTTTTAGCCCTGGGGATTTCCCTTTCTGTTCTACAGGCCTACAATGTATTTAAAAGGCTAATATAATTTATTCAGCATTTAGGTGTTCTAGCAAAAGGGATTTCCAAAACATTGTGTCCATCCCTTTGCTAGAAGCATAACCCCCTTCCTTTAACCATTTTTGTATGCACATGTCCTTCTTATTCTTTAAAATCAACCTCAAATATGATCTTCCACAGCAACCTTCCCTAATCTCTCTGCATACAGAAATAAGCACTCCTTCTTCTGAGAACACTCTATTTGCACATCTCTTGTGGCTATTGTCTTCTACAGTATGACAAATAAGTAAAGGGTCTTAAGTGGATAAAATCCTTGAGGAGAGACTCCACTTCCCTAACCATAGCAGAGGGCCTTCCCCATGTTAATCACAAAATATTTTCTGAATGAACAAATAGCCAAAACCAAATTGATTCTTAAACCCCAAAAAGATTCATGATTTTTCTATTTCAGTCAAGAGTATTGTCATTTTTCCAGGTTATCCAGATTCTGAGATCTCATGAGTAACCCAAGGTTCCAAGACAATATCCTCTTGCCACATGTGGCTATTTAAATTAAAATGTCAGGGGTGCCTGGGTGGCTCAGTGGGTTAAGCCTCTTCCTTTGGCTTGGGTCATGATCCCAGGGTCCTAGGATCCAGCCCCGCTTCAGGCTCTCTGCTCAGCAGGGAGCCTGCTTCCTCCTCTCTCTGCCTGTCTCTCCACCTACTTGTTCTCTCTGTCTGTCAAATAAATAAATAAAATCTTTTTTAAAAAATTAAAATTTCAATGAACTAAAATAAAACTTAAAAACTCAGTCTTTCAGTCATACTAGGCACATGTCAAGTGCTCAAAAGCCCCATGTGTCTAGTGGCTACCCCAAAGGATAGTGAACATAGAGCACATTTCCATTATCATGGGAAAGTTCTATTGGACGATGCTGAGCAGCTCTTACAGGGACTGCACTGACATAGCACAAGTAAAGAAACACACTACTGATACATAATAAGTGGTAGCTTTTAGTACTAACTGTTAAATGGTCTAAAATAATACCCGCTTCACAGAGGTTCATGCAAGAACTAAATGAGTTAATATATATAAAACATTGTCACAGATGATCAATAAATGGCTGTTTCTCTTTTAGACTGTAAAAGATAAATTACCTGTTTTACAAGCTCGTAAGATATTGGTCTTCAAATCTGCACAAACCTGCACCCTTGTAAATCCTGAAATCTACATACAAAGAAAATAAGAAAATGTTTCAAACCACATTCTTTTAAACATGTACAATTTCAGTTCAATGCACCAATATTTGTCCATGGGTAGGACACTATGTTATAGTATTATTAATAAGTTATTTTTCTTTAAAGAGTCAATACATGTGTTTAAGTTTTTATTTTAAATTTAGTTTGGTGAACATACAGGGTTATATTAGTTTCAGGTGTGTAAACAGTGATTCAAAACTTCCATACAGTACCTGGTGCTGTTCGGGTTAAGTGTACTAGTGTGTTTTATAATGATATTGTACCATCTGAAATTAAATAATATTTCAAATCTAGGATATCAATTTTCCTATCCTTTCTCACATTAGACACCTTTCACTGACATCAAAAAAGATAAAGTAAAAGGAGAAACACTGAATTTCCTCCTATGGAGGGAAAGACAAAAATGAGGAAAGGATAGTTTATTATTAAGCAAAATAAAACATTAACTAGTCCGTGTGATGCAAAGGGAAGAATAGAGTTGTGAGATCGGCTTTATCCAAGTACAAATCCTAGCTTTATCAAGTCCCAGCTGTATGATTTTAGGAAAGTTACTAAGCTTCTCTTAGTTACAGTATTCTGATTTGTAAAGTAGCTATCTCAAAGGGTTGTTCCTTGGAGTAGAACAGAGAAAGCATACAATATAACAATGATAGCTGATTTGTCAATTCTGTGCAAGTGTAACTAGCCACAAGGATGGGAACAACACTTTTTAATTCTTTACAAGTGTGAATCATCTTGGATTCATATCTCCTCAGGCTTTGAGGGTTCTTGGTTAAACTAACAGTTTAGAAGACAAGCAAGGCTTGAAATGATTTACCAGTCTCCTAAGGACAACTGAAAAACTTAAGTGCCCTGACTTAGTGAGGAAGACTACTTTTGCCCATGCATTTTCACAGTGGAAAGCTAGAAGTGTGGCTGGTTAACTGCCAAGCAAGCAAAGTTAAAATTTTAATGGTTAAATGATTTAAGAAGCCTTTGAAAATATGAAAGAATAACCTCCATCTAGTAGTAAGAGTGCTTAATGAATTATTTCTGCTCTCTCACCTACCTTCTCTGCTTTCTTTGAAGATCCATGAATCAGAACTGCAGTCACAATTCTTAAATTTTTCAAATATTTGAAAGCCACTGGTAATAAGATTAATTCCTTTTACTGTCTCCTCTAAGCGGTGACTGCTAAGAAACAATAAGAAAGTAAATTCTGGATATTCCAAGTAAAGTTAAGATAGTCTTAAGCTCTTTTTAAAAGTCCACAAAACCACCAGGCCCAAAGCAAAGCGTAAGAGAAAACAGTTATTTTTCTAAACTCTAACCTGGCCTTCTGACAAATGTGATATTCTCGTAACTGTTAAATCCCAAAGAGTGTACAAGATTAAGTAACTTTTTTTTTTTAATAAGTTGGATCAAAAATTACAAGGGAAGCAGAGGGGGTGGGGAGAGAATCTGATAATGCCACAATAATTACAAAACTGCATTTGAGTACTGATTTATAAATTAAAATTTGGGAGAACTGGAAAAATTATTTCCCCGATGTGTTTACTGGTTTTCAAATGTATGTAATGTAAAGAACGAACAGTGTGAAGATACAAGGGACCAGCTATTTACCTTTTGCCTTGGGCCCACACACCCCTCAGGTGCGCCCAGCGACAGAACTGCGTGTGGTAGACCAGAACTCCGCGTGGTAGACGCGCTTCAGATAAACACAAGGTCACCACAGATCTCAAATTCAAACCTACCCCCAAGCCCCCTACCAAGGAATCTGAGCCTAGGAGTGAAAACTGGAACGGTACCCAACCGCAGTTTTTGTGGCACTGGGGTGAGGGTTCTCCGTAGCCGCTTAAAACAAAACCAAGGCATTATTTACACGGCTGCCTTCTTCCAGAGGCGCAAAGCCCGGGGACTCTGATCTCAGCCGGGTTGTGCCAGCGGCCAGGAAAAGATGCGGGAGGCGGAGCCTGGCTCGGCCCGCGCGGGGGTAAGAGGGGAGAGGAACCCGGAGACACCGAGGATGGGGAGGCAAAGGTGAAGCACGGGCACCTGAGCCCAGCCCGCCCCCGCCCCCGTCCCCCAGGTCCCCAGGAGCCCGCCTGCGCTCCGGCCACCAGGGGGTCCCTCTCCCGCGTTTTGCAGTGTGGTCCCGGGGGGGCAGAGCCAGTCCGCACGCGACTCGCGCGCGGGCCACTGGGGTGAAGCTCCGGGCGGCTTCCACTTGCCAAACCCGCCCGATCCTATTCTCTGAACCACACCCCTACAGGGGGCTAGGGCCCGCCCTCATGCCCTTTTCGGCCTACCTTATGTGGATGACCCCGTCAGGGACAGCCGCCGCGTCCGAACCCGGCCGGCCGGCAGGACCGAGACAGGGCGGGACCCTAGGGCGCGCTCCCGAGCAGCCAGGCCAGGCCTGGGGCGCGCTTACCGCCCCGAGGAGCGCGCCCGCGCCGCCGCTCGTTCCGACCCTGTATCCCTTTACGGCAACGCGAAAGTGTCGCGAACGGGCTGCCGCCGATCAGAGTCACTCAGTCGTCTGGAGGCGGAAGGTTTATTTCTAGCGGTGTGTTTTCGGGGGTCGGGGTAAGGCTGCGGGGCTCGGCCTTGGGAAGATGGCCGGGTGTGACGGACGTGTTGGGGGGCACGACTCTCGAGAGGCGTGGAGAGAGAGCTGCATGCTCTGGGGTGGGGCATTGGAATATAGGTGTGTATGGACTCGGCGAGGCGAACGCAGCGCTTCCTTGCGCCGGCTGGCCTTGCGCGCGGGGTTGTGGGGAGGGCGAGGGGCGCTTGCCCCTCTGGCCCCGGGTGGAGAGACTGAGGTGACGAAGTGCTAGCGCGGGAGTCCGGGGACTGCTGAGTGTGGGAGTTGGGAGTCGTGGCGCGGAGAACCTCGGCCGGCCCGGGCTGGGCGGGCGGGGACGCTGCCCGCGTGGAACCGACCGTGCCATGTCGGGTCCACACCCTCCTGCTCAGGTGCTTCCAGGTCCCCAAACCGTGTTGCATTCGGTGACGGGGTGGCCTGCCTTTTGGAATGTGGTGGTCGTGTGGCTGGGCCATGCTTCTTGGTCAGCAACTTTTCTAGAAATATCAGCATATATTTATTTATAAATAGCTGGGGTTTGTTTCAGCAGTATTCTTGGAAGGAGAAAGGACAGGAGGGTTGCTAGTGTTTGCAGGTGTTCCCAGGAACGCTGGATGGATGGGATCTTTACAATTAGCTGTGCGTAACATGTCTTCTCCAATTTGGTGCTTGGCGTTATGTCACTTGGCTGTTTTGGATCATTGGTATCGAATATATAATTTTGTTTGAGGTCTCTTAGTTTATTAATGAATCCGTATTATGATAGGCAAATTCATAGTTATTCTTCAGCAAATATTAATGTCTTATCTTGTATGTGGGCAGAAATAAAGATTCAGTTTCTGCACTCGAACTAGTAGGATAGGAATGTGTTCAATGTGTGTATTTAATTGACTAACACCACAAGTTAGACTGTCGTAAGGATATTTAGCTTTACTACTTTGGAACATTGGCAGTCACATAAAGTTCCAGCGATTGAAGTTCTAAAAGCATTTATTTTGCTGCATATCTGTTCTGTGGTGAGAAAAACTAGTCAGAGCCCCTTGTACAACTTGTCTGCGCAATGCTTCCATTAGAGAAATAATTGTGTGATAAATCTGCCTCTTGTATTAACCTGTTCCACCAGAGGCGTCTTTATTTCTTGTCCAGTTAATAGATTGTTCTGAATATTTACAACTATTATTTCATAAATTTATTCTCCTTCCTTTCCCACACCCAATCTCTTCAAATTTACATTATAAACACTTAAATGTTTGATATCTGTAACTCTAAACTTTGCCATAAGCCAAATTACATTTTATTGCATAGTCAGTTTGTTTTCTAGTAAGCAGTAGAGTTGTTCTTTAAGCTGGCTAAAAGTGCTGGTGATGTTCTTTTGAGGGTCATGCTGTGCTGTCTTTTTTAGGGGAAGTATTCCCCTATAAAATACCAGGCTTTTGCTTTTCTTCTTTTTTTTTTCCTGGGGGAAGTTGTTTCCTTTTTTTTTTTTTTAAAGGAATGCAAGATTTCACTTCAAAACAGTAGATCTAAATTGTATTACACAGTACTGTTTTTGCTTCCAAGACTGCTGAAAAGGCTTTTGTTTTTGCTAACTTGTTCTATGTACCACTTGTTAAATAATGCTGAATGTAATCCTGTGATCCTATTAGTTTTCCTTTCTTAAAAAAACATTTTGTAATTTGCTCTGCCTTCCAAATAGTGTTGGCCATTAGTAATTTTCTTTATTAGTGCCATAAATGTTGGAAAGAACTGTGTAATCACTAATTCCCGTGAAAGGACTGTAAACACACTGCTGAATCAGTGGAGTTTAAAACTTGGTACCCTTAGACGTGGGGGATGGGAATTCTGGAATTTCACACTACAGGTTGGATATTGTGTAAGTTTACCTTATGCTCTGCTGAGCAGTTGGAGATGCCTTTTTTAGTGAGATACTTGTCAGATGTTCCCCAAAGCTGAACACATGAACACAGGAATAATGTAGGCAGCATGCCATTTTCCTCAGCTGCTATAAGCACAGATGTTCTATGTCATAGATTTAGCTTCACAATTTGTGTGTAATTTTAGTAAAGGTATTCACTAAATAGCTCTGATTATATTTTTGTACCTTTGTTGGGCTTTTCACATAAATATTCATGCCTGCACAAAGAAAATTTTTTTGTTAGACCATATGTACCCCCCTTCCCTGGACTCCCACAATAGTTTGTTTACAGCACATTATAACTTAGCTGTTTATAAGACTCTCCTCCCCACCCCCTTTAAGTTTCTTGGGATCATGGATTGCCATACTTCAGTCTATCTGTTTCTTCAGGGTCTAGAACAACTAGGTGCTCATTAAATAATAATGAGCCATTTTTGTTCCTTGTTCCACAAATAAGTCCTGATTACCTACTTAATGTTAGGTATGGTGTGAGAGTGTGGGAAAAGAATGTTAGACAGGCATGGCCTCTGCATTCCTGGAGCTTATAGACCAATATGGGGAGAAGACCAGAAACAGTACAACAAACAGAAAAACTCAGTGTATTAAGTGCTATGAAATGAATATTGCAATAGAGCCAGGTTATAACAGAGAAGGGGAATTTGCTGATTATAAGTGGAAAGGTTACAATAGCTATAGGCCTATGAACAATATTATATTAAAATACATTCCAGGTGATGGGAAGTTTTTCAGCTAAAATACTCACTTTTACTGTTATGATTTATGAAAAACACATCCTCAGTTAAAAAGTAGGTTGTGCTACAAAATTACAAAAATTTTTATAAGCTCATTGATGACTTTTCAAAACATCAAAATAAAATCTCAGTTCTTTACCATGGTCTGTAAACCTCTGCATTGTCTGGCTTTTCAAACTTTATTTATGTCACTCTTCCATCTGATTTATTGCTGTCCACCCGTAGTGATCTCAAATGTACCTGAACAAGACAAGCTCCTTCTTGCTTCAGGGCCTGTTACCTTTACCTGGACTAGGTCCTTTTCATCCTCTGAATTTGATATAAATGTTACTTTTTCATAGATTCCTACCACCTTATCTAAAATGTGCACCCCTAACTATTTTCTGGCTCCACACTTTGTTTTCCTCATAGCACCCATCACAGCGTGTAATGCTATTTACTTGTTTACCTGTTTTTAGTTATTTACCAGCTGGACATGGGAACCAGGAGGATGTCTAGCTTGCTTACTGCACTCAATGTTGGCTGAATGCATTTGGAACTTAGAATTCATTTTCTCATAAAAACTTATGACTGGTGGTTTCTAGGCTAGCCAGCAATAAATTTTAACTCCTTACATTAATTGTTTTAGTTCCTTGTAGTATGGCAAAAAAAGGACATTTTCTCTTCACGCTTTTTGGCATAGGCCTGACTAGGTAAAAAATCTCAAGTGGCTAGAATAATTTTTATACTGTTTGCTTCTCCATTCCATATTCCCATCCCACATCGCGTTTCCCTTTTCTCCATAAAGTTCACTCTTCCTATAATAGTCACCTACCCTGTTGTACTCCCTTGAGATATTCTTGCTTTTCCTTTGCTGAAATTCAAAAGCTCCTGTTTTTTCCTGAGATGGTTTGAATTGCAATAGCCTCTGGGTCTCAGATGTAATCAGATGAAGAAGAGTGGAGATGGGCCTATAGCAGTGACAACACCCTCTGTGTCTATGTCTATAGGCATGTATTGAAAGCAAAGTGGGCATCTGTAGGTTGTGCTACATGTACCTGAATTTACATTTGCAATCTTGTTGCTAGTAGCTTCACAGAGACAATGTTGCCAAATTGAAATAGTTAAATACTCACTGGCTTTTTTTCATGTATGAATTAAGTAATGGCTGGATCTATTAAGGTTTGTCAAACTGTAGACTTTTCTAAGAGAGAATTAAAAGGTAAAAAAAAAAAAAAATCTAGGTCAGAGGGGGAAAACACTCAGAAGGAAGGTATCAGTTTATCATATAATCCTGCCAAATGCTCAAACTTAAAACCATTAGGATCAGTTGCTTGTAGTTGTTTAGTGCCAAAAGGAGGCCAATACCCTCAATATGTCACTTCATTTTTACAGTAGGATAAGTGAATACTACAAAAGTAAAGTATAAATTGATATGAATAAACTTTTTATTCCCACGTTTAAGTTGAATTCTGTAAAAGCTGATTTATTATAGCTCACCAAATGCGAAGCAGTGTCATTTAATTTAACTACAGAAAATTTGACTACTATAAAATTAAGTTTTGGGTGGTTATGTCTGTCACTTTCTCTAAAATGCATTTGTAACCAGTTGTTTGACATTAATCAGTTGTTTTGTGATATAGTTGAGTGTGTGGCAGAATTCTTTGAAATAATTTGCCTTGGTTTGAAAATTATTTCAGTATTTTTATCTCACACTTTAGGTAAATTGTGGCACTAGTGATTCTTTTAAGATTTTTGAAAATTTATTTAAGGCAGTTGATAATTAAAAAACTATTTTCTGAACCAATTATTGAGACACATGATCGAGATTTTGGTTGTCACTCTAGATCCTTGGTGACACTGAAATTTTGGAACTTGATGTGTATGGGAATAGAGAGAAGTAGTCATAGGCATGTTTAATACCGGGTCCATTGTTGAAATGTCCTACTTCCTGTATCACATCTGTATTCCCATAGTGGAACATTTCTGGGAATTTCATATTGCGTGCTGGATAGCTTTTTACTAGAATATCGAAGTACACCTCTCTTGGTTTGATGCCACTACCCTTTCTGTTCTATTGAGATGATTCCTTCCCCCTCCCCTTAATCCTCTTATGGCTTC